AATATATATATATATATATATATATATATATATATATATATATATATATATATAGCAATGTTCACATTGTTTCAACAATGAAAAAGTACTACGAGCTATCTCTGCTGTGTCAAAAACTGAGCAGAGGTCCATTATTCAAACTTTCTATTATTCAAAACTCTTAACACGTAATAAAACATTCTTAGGTGTTTGATACGGCACCTATAACTGACTGTTCACTTTAAACAGAGAACGGACTATGATTTCAGAAATAATTAAATCATACACAAGATTTGCGCGAGCTCAAAAATTCTCAGGAATTATGAATCCAAAATATGAAACATCAGCAAAAAATAGTACGGTCACGACATCTAAAGGCTTGTTTTTCTAGCTGCTTATACAAAGCATCTCTATGAAGAAATGCAATTTGGTATGATTGCGAAAAAAAAATACAGGTTATTCAGTTACAACGTTGGTGCAGATGCTTTTTGAACCATTTTTTCATCCGTCAAAGTACTATCAACTGTGTTTTTTGCAAGCGCTTTTGCGAATGCTTCTTCCACTCTCGCCTCATCGCTCTGTAAACTTTTTAAAAATGCAAAAAAAAGAGCACTAGGTTTCATTTTTTTCAGATTCCAGTTGTACGAACGTCTAACAATAAATTATATTAGACTACTGAAAAAAAAAGAAATCAAATGATGGGAAGAACAAACAAAGAAACAAAACTAGGAAAGTAAATTAGGCTATAGAGTGACCGTCAAACAATTCCAAAAACATAAAGACTGAATGTTAGAAATAAAAAAAGGACAAAAACAAAAATGAAGTCTTTTCAAAAAAGAACATTTATGTGACATACCTCAGCTATTAAACCATGTTGCACTAATTCGGCTGCTAATATACTTGCAGTATCATCCGCAGTTATTCTAGCTGTCAACTGTCGGTTCATCATATCATCCAATTGAACAACTAATGTTAAAAGTGACCCTGCAAAGCTCAGTACTTATCATGTGGTGAATACTGATCAATGATCTAATCTGTTAATGTTATAGATTTACGTTATTATTCTGTTCTGTGCAAAATAACGTAAATATGCAACAGTAACAAACTAGATTCATAAATTATAGCGATATTTAAATTTATATTGTAAATATGATATTTGAGTTTAAATCATAAAATGAAAGTAAAATTCAAACACCGATCATTCATCGATCAGTGTTTTCCAGTTATAAATCTGAAGTTACCGTTCAGCGTGACTGTGCATTTGATGATTGACCTGCTTTCTTTATATTCCACCGGTGAATCTGCTGGAGGGCTAGGTGTTGGCTCCGGTTTGTCACCATCTGATCCGCGATCTTCTACAAAAATTTGCAAATAAACTTTAGTTTGAACAAACAGTCATTCACTATAATATTAGATCTCATATCACATATAACTAAAATTATTCAAGTACCATATTGCTGCTCCCCAACTAGAGCGGCTGAAGATGTCGAAGCCGTCATTCTTTGATGATGAGGAAGAGGGGTAAATGCTATGAGTGGATATATTCCATTACTAACATCCTCCAAAAATTTTTCCAGATCTACCTGAAATTGATCGTCTGCTGCAGGCATAATTACACGAACGAGAAATGCAACCTTACGTCTGCTTTTGACGATAACGATGTTATCTATAAAACCATTTAACTCGTAAACTGGCTGTCATCACAACTTCCCATTATAACAAAAAGTACGTTACATTGTTATCTAATTCAAAAGGAAGAATACCTGAAAAGAAGGGACCTGGTTATAGGCCATTTCGCGAAACTCTGATGTTGCTGCAATGCGATTCGGGTCCTCTACATGTAGATCATCTTCGTTTAAACTGTTATTCAATTTCGATGAGACAATACAGTGAGCAGCCAGTAATTTTAAAGAATGCACCTGAGTCAGATATCAAGATGATGTGGTTTAGAAATTTTTCCTGTGAATTGCTATTATTTTAATAAGAACTATTGCCGCATTGGCCTAAGTGACTTACCAGAATCCTGATTCCACAGGCTATAACCAAAAGCGTATCTCACGCCTAATGTGTGTTATCACTTTTACTTAGACCATTGAAAAAGAAAGTATAGGGAAAAGCAAATACAACAATTACCTCAAGTAAAATAGTATGGAATAATAAATCGCGAGCGGTTGGCCTTTTAGATGGGTCCAAATTCAAACAGCTCTCAATGAAATCCTAAAATATAATTCCGTCCCAAAGCAAATAGAAAATATTGAATAAAAGTGTCTTTTTTACAACAAATATCTGAAAACCTTTCAAAACCTATGCCAGTAAGTACCCTGTAAATATAAAACACAATCCTTGATATTAACATACATAAATAAAAACGGATAAAGAACACTTGAACCGAAAAAGTTACTAATAATTTAAGTCCCCACTTTCTGCATAGGATCTTCCAACGATTCCAGTCCTCTCCTAACCATCTCCTGTGACACTACACTTGTTTCAGTACCATTTGAAGAGCCGAATAAGCCCATAGGTAAAGCCATCTGAAAGAATCAACAAAAATTGCACAAAAATTAAAGTACATGTTGGAGGAAGCATAAGTCTGGGACCAAGGCGAATAATTCAGTCTCGGCTCAACCTTCTTGTGGTCAGAACTTACACTACCCAATACTTAAGCTCATATTCGAGATTAAACTTGCCTCTAGTGCACATATTCCAAAAGAATAGATGTCAGCTGGCGGAGCTACAGCATTACAATCTGGAATCAAACTATTAAAAATCAAAAAAAAAAAATCAGGAGTAGTCAAAACTGCAAACGGCGCTTTTGGCAGAGGAAATGGTATCCGCATCTGAAAAAAAAATTTATTCCGTAGACCCCAAAGAGGAAGAACTAAAATGAAGACATCCCAACTTTTATCACGAGGCCATAACGAAAATTGCAATCTTGATTACAATTTCCCTAACAATGAAATTTTTCATATGGAAAGCTTACGTTCATATTCAGGCGCAATGTAATGCATATTTCTGATATTTTCTTGAAACGTCTTCACATGGTGTTGAATTGCAGTTGGAGCGACTAAAATAAGATTGCATGTATGTATGTAAATTTCATGGAATGGAAAATCCTGGCCGTATCACATCTCGTTTCCATAAATTCATTACAAAAAATATGTTTGGTTCATTCGTGCGCCAAAGGCTGGAAGGAAACTAGTGCAAAAATTAAAGTGATTTGAGTATCTCACCACAACCGATCTTGATCAAACCATTATGCTGAATGAACATCGTGTTGCAAGTAAGATTTGCGTGAACGACTGGAGGATTACATGAGTGCAAATAATTTAAAGCAGAGAGAATTTGCGTAGTCCACTTCTTCCAGGCCTGAAAACGAATCAAATCTTAGACAAGACAATAAAATATTCAAAAAAATAAAATGTAGCAAAGCGACAAAGAAGCAAAACTCTGAGACATGTAGAGTAGAAGAGGAATGGCATACAAATTTAATTAGAAAGGTGTAGAAAGCTATTCCTTTTAAGCCGACGAGAAAAAGATATTAATTGAATCGACCTTCAAATTTAAAGCAGCTCCAGATTTACGAGTACGTTGTAAAAATCGTGCCAATGAACCAGATGACATATACTCCGTTATAAATATTATCTGAAACAGTAAGAAGAAAAATGATGTATAGTACTTTGCAAAGACATAATCTGAAAGAAACCAAATCTTGAAGCGACCACACAAATGATACCCTGCATCATTCTAGCCTAGAATGATGCGATCATTAGCAATCAGCGAGCTGCTGATATAAGAACAATGCAAAAGAGAAGAAAAGACTAGAACTACATTCACCCGCCCCATTCTCCACAATGGTTCCAAGCATTCTGTCGACCTTTACTGATCCGGCATACTGAATGACCACTGACTCGTGAAATGTCATTGTGTTCACGGTAGTTCCGGAATTTAAAAATTCCACAGTAATCCCTTCATCCTTTCTCAAATCTTGCACAAAGTTTCCTGAACAGTGGGATGAAAGAAGGGAATAAACAGTAGTTGTGCATCTGAAACTCCAAACGGACTCAAGTTCAAACAAAACTGACAAATTGGAAATCTTTCAAACCTTCGAAAATTTGTATCTAAACGAACCCTTGGTTTGTCAGATTTCGAATCTGTCCAGTACTTATGGAATTTAACGAGATTCGTATGCACGAGATGAGTTAACTTGTCAAAAACTGCATTTATGTGTTCTTCTTGTGAACGAAAATTTTTGCGTTCTGAGAACAGGACTTCGTTCCAAACCACCTCGTTGCCTGTTTCATTGTCCATTGCCAGGTAAGCATAATCAATCCCGGGAACATTACGTTGTTTTACTTGCTCACGCCGCTTACTCCACCTTTTGCATGGACTTTCTTCCAAGATCTGGAAAATAATGACTGATTCACAAAACTCATGGTGAAATGGAGACAAAATTCCTTATTTAATCTCTTTTGTAGGAAATAAAGTGGAAAGGTGCAACTTTTCGCAATAAAAAACTGCAAAACACTAAATACCTTATGAAGATAACCAAGGGTAAATGGCAGAGGAATTGATTAATAAGTTAAATAGCAGGGAAAAATTAACATGGGAGCTTTTCAACTTGACGTCCATCTTCAACGGAAAATTCGTGAGGAAGAATTTGAGATCAAGTAGAATAGAAGACTGAGTTAAGGTTGTAAGATGGGGATGAAAGAGAAAAGCCAGAATCTTAGTCATGACTCTGTTTGCTGATATAAAGTTATACATCGCTATTTTATGCATAAAACCAAATTTTTAAGCCATCAAACAACTCGATCTTGAAAACCATAAAACCCATCATTTCAAAAGCAAACTTACCTCACCATTGTTGAAGTACAAGTGAGAAGTATCCAGGGACATGCTTACAAGTATGGATACACTTCTCAACAGCAACTGACTCACATCAATTAAAGTAAATCCAACGACAGATGATCAAAAGTGGGCATGATAAACCGCCATTCAACCCACGCAAGGAGGTATTCCAGCATTTATATAAGTCACATTTTATCCCTTGCAAAACTCTAACTTTGCAATCTTTCAAATGGTAGCACGATTCTGTCCCGCATAAATTCACCACTTTCAGTAATTAGCCTAGAGCTCACCTCCACCTAAGAATTTTGAATGGATGAATAACGAATGATTAGCAGAAGATAACTTCTCATTTTGCCCACCATTTTCGCAAAGTGATAACGAGCAACAAAGTTGATGATCTCCAGGAAAAGATAATGAGAAAAAACTTGCCAGTACCATGAATCTCGCAAAGGTTAAATTAACCAAGTTATACTACTAATTCGCAATTATACAAAACTTTTCAAACAAACCTCTTCAGCTCCTTCGCCTTCGGAATCACTATCCTTGCTATTATTACCACCTTTTACATCATGACCATGTTTAGCTGTTGTATCAGTTGTATGTGATGTGGTGGTAGAACCGACATCTGTTGAAGTCGCAGAATCCATGCTAACGATACTAATTGCTAAAGATCTGTTGCAATTGCAAATGCTCAGATTTTCTATTTCACCTCTTGCTCTTTCTCGGGAACGTATCGCTACAGCACTACAGTAAAGTGCTGTTGATGTTAATGCTGCTATGCAGCTTCCAGTGCAAGAAACTGCTGAGCAGCTTTCAAGACTGTGCCGATCATACGGCTTTAGCAATATACAGGAACGATTCAACTTGACTGCTTCAATGATTTAGAAGTTTCTGTGACGGCACGATTTTGTCGGTTGAAATGCTGAGCACAAGTGCTCCACTCGAAGACAAAACCAAGTCAGAAATTGGGTAAGAAACCTGTAACGACTCAAACTTTTATAATGTTTTCCCACGGTTGCAGTAGTTGCCGACGAACCTAACTCAACTGTTCAGGACAGATTAAAGAATTGTACGCCTCCAAATGCGTCTAACTTCTCACCGTGAATTTTACAAGTGATGTCAGTCCTGAAATACAAGCAATTTTATGAACTTTGTAGACAGCAGCACTATTGCCAACGAGAACGCAGAAAACGAAATGGTTTGTATAAAACAAGACCCGTCGAATCATCACTTCCATAATGCAACGACAATTGCGCAAACAGTACGGTGCATTAATGATTAAACAGTTTCGTTCAGAGCACAGGAAGAGAATGCAACAAATGTTGCAAAAAAGAAAAAAAAAAAACGTTAATTAACCTCAAAGAATGTACCATGAATGATAGTATAGCCTGCCTGAATTTCCTCGTGCTCGATGGAACAGAAAAGGCAGAGAAAAATGCCTTTCCTGACAGGAATAAAAATTGCAGCAGCAGACGGAGGCATAATTATGCTCCAAATAAACCGAAAATCTTTAGCCTTTCAAACATTTCAGTTAGATCAATTATCAATTTACAATTAAATATGGAGCAAATCTAAATCTGGCTTATTAGGAAAATTCTGCTTGATTCAACTTTAGCCTTGAGAACACAAATTCCAAAAAAACTGAAGTTCATATTTATAACGATATCATAAACGAACCGCCCACAATAAATGTAAAAGAAATGAATAATAGCGACCACCAATTACGAACGAATGTGGTCAGATCAGTCTGTTAATTGATCCATCCGGTTATAATTCACTCACTACTAAATAAAGAACTGTCAAGGAGTATTTGCACTACTCCATAACCAGTTATTTTCGTACTTTAGTTGTTGATTATGTCTGTTCTACGACCCACTGGTAGTTACAGTTGTCATCACTGCAGTCTGGATATTGTTACATGAAAAACTTATGGTTTCAACATATAATGCTAACGCAGAAACGTTCGATAGCTACTGAACAGTGATAGTTGGTTCATAGATTCAGAACATACAATACACACATAAGCAAGACTCTGTTTGGTATAGAATCGTCGTGCTTTTTACATTAACTGTTCTTGACGGAATAGTAAGAAAAGCCTTCCGAAATCCAATAAAGGCCTCTACATTGACCTATCATTCTTTCATTAGCATTTCTCTTCTGTTATATTGCTATGATTTCCGACAGGCTTATGAAATGAACTGCATTCATACGAGCAGCCAATAAGCAAAGGAAATGAGCACACTGAAAATCCTGAAGTTCCCTTGTAAGTGGTAGGAGACATAACGAGTTAGTCCATGAACTGAATGCCATAGATAACAGACCGAAAGAAATTGCGTTCAGTAGTAAATTACGAAAGTTTTTGCTACATTTCAGACAAGATCTACAAAATAAGAGCGTTTTATACAAGGAATGTCTGGGCGAAAGCGCAAAATGCAAGAGGATATTGGTTCCCCCCTGGTTCTTCAAAAAAAAAAAAAAAAAAACTGGGACGCAGAGTGTTAAAAAAGTTGATGTTGTCGAGGAAATGCACCTGTAAACCCTGAAAATGACTACGTTTCACAACCTCTGTTCCTTTCCCCTACAGATATACACAACACTTTCTCTGTAATCATCTCTTGCTGCTGAACGTGGAGATATAGGATTCCTCGCATATATATATATATATATATATATCAAGATACATCACTACAAACGTGATTAATTTCCGCGCCACTGATTGTGTGATGTTCCGTCACTCAAGACTAACAACCACTCATCACTATACGTCATACACTGCTAATGCAAGCGTTAACTCCTACGCATGGGATGTGACGGATCAGATGGAACCGATAGCTAATACATGATACGAAGTTAATAAACAAACAAAGTTGGTCCTCACATTTTAATGATCAGAGAAGCTGAAGCTGTTAAATATACTAAAGACATTTAGAGATATGGATCTTTTCCGATACCTCTTTTTCATCTATCAAGTTTATTTATATATGCAACGCCACTAGGATACTAACTGCAACTTCAGTCAGGAAACTTCAAACCTTATCTTCGAAAATATAAAGTCCGCTTGGAAAATTAGCCACAGCAAAAATTAATCCATCACCCGAATCTTTTTAGGAAAGCTCTATGGGTTTTCGGAATCCCACGCCTTCTTCATTGAACACTACTTAACTCTTCTGTGAATGCTCAACATTCTCCGTGACACAAGCCCGGTGATCCAGGAACTCGGGAAGACCGGAACATGATGGATGATAACTTGATGCTGTGACAAATTTTTCGGCAAGTTCCATGCAAACCGATCAAACTATAAGATACATATGCAAAAGCAGAGGTCTACAGCACTATACTACTCAGACTTTCGGAACTACAATCAGATAAGTACTTTTAATTTGGCAGATGAATCACATCTACAGCGACTAGTCCACATCCTTAACCCTCCTTTACAAAAACAAATCAAGCTAAAAGTTCCAGGTAGGTCAATTATGGATACTCACAAACCAGAACAGCTTTCCGGATATCCATTTCATTCCGATAGAAATTTAAGAGAATTATTTCTGCCACTTTTCACTATGGAAACTAGAAAAAAACAATCAAACTGAAGTGGTAGAAGTAGAAGTGAAATCGGGAAGAGAATTCAACGACCCAGGATTCAGTATTGTTCAAAACCTTCATTGATAAAGGTGCAAAAGAAAAGGTTTACTGCCGAAAGGAGCGCTATCGCTATAACAAAATTACAAACTCTCAGAAAAACTGATCCTTCGTTCACATTGGCAGGGACGTACCTTACGGGGAGAAACATGAACATTGGTACTTACCCTTCCATTAATTAATCAATAAACCAGTCGATGCTGTAGTTTTGAAAAGCAAGCAGGAGTATCGCAAATAACTGAAAGTAAGGTGACCATAACAAAATGACAAGGGTATGCCCCTAACAGGTGACAATCTGAGAGGACAGGAGAAAATGGCCAACTGAATCGATGACCTGGCAATGGGAGTGATGATCGAGGAGGAAAGAGGGAAGAAAACGAAGCGAATGGAGCAATGATACTGCGAATACGGCTGGGCAACCCACGGGTTGACCTGTCAGGTACACTCACCTTATCTTGCCATTCACAAAACATAAGGTCGATCTCTCTCGCAGACAGACGAGAAGACGGCTTTGTCACCACACGACACTCCCACCCACGCCGATCGATACACGCCCATCCGACCCACAGACATACATATCACACATGCATATATACATACATACATACATGCATTCACACATATATACATACATGCATACATACATACATGCATACATACATACATACATACATACATACACACATACATACATACATACATACATACACACACACATATATACATTCATACACACATGCAACAGACGCCACAATCAGTAGGGGCCGCCGTCTAGACGTTCTCTTCATTTTGCAGTGCGAAAATTATTGGCAAAGAGCCAATTTATTGTCTTGAGTCTCACAATTGGTAATGCGGCAATTTGTATGTGGAAGGGACCAACTGCAAGAGAGGAGAATATGTTGGGGAGGGAAGATTAAAGATTACAAGAGACAGTCAGAGGTCAAATTTTGCTATCAATATGATAGCAGACAATAAAGGAGATTGACATTTTTGCCACAATTGGAAACATAATGAACGACTAGCTCCGCTCAGCTGTTTTTTAAAAGTCTACTGACCCCTGCGCATTAATGTCACGACATTGTAATGCATCATAAATACGTTTGTTGGAATATCGTATAGATCGGTGCTCTGCTGTTCCTTCCTTCCTTCTCAAGTCGATAGAAACCAAGTTCTTTGGTGACCTTCCCAACGACCTATCCGTACAGTTACTTTCTCGACCCTTAATCTACTTTTATCTACTTGCTCTTTATAGCATACTTTTTCGTCATTGCAGATGAGCTCATATGAAAAATCCCACAGCGTTCGCAAATTCATTACCGGAAAGAAAACGCTCTAGCAATTAGTCGTTTAAAGCATCAACTTTTTTCTTTATCACATCTTCCACGCTACATTTCCCAATTGCTTTCAAACTCTACTCGCAAAAGTTTCCAGCGCAGCTTGTCCTCCGCTCTCTCTATCTTCAGTAGAACTTAAGCAATTCAAAACGTAAAGTGGTGAAGTCATCAGATATCAGAGCTCGAAAATCTTAGATATTCAGAAATAAAAAAAAAAAACAGGATAAACACAATGTTGACTTTCTACTACAAAGCGACAAAGTGCAATACCCCGGAAAGTCCACATACGGGACGCTTTAGAATATTGTCCGTAGGGTTATGGAATTTCGCATCTCTTCCGAAACTTCGTAGGACCCATGTCAAATTCTTACCAAGCTTGCAGTATCTGGATAAGACGTGGGAAGGACCAGAAGTATTGACTCAACAAATAAGCTCTTTGCTGATTGGGACAGGAACTAGGAACTGATTGCGTAGAACATAGGACCTTCCTAGCGCATAAAGCTGATGAATTCCCAACCAGTAAGAAAAACTGCAAATTTATTCGTTTCCATATCAGTAAATTCAGTTCTCAAACAAATGTACATATCTGAAACTCAACCGTACAAACATTTAACTTGAAGCTACATCTACACTGGGATCCAATATGTGGAACCCGTCACCACATGTAGCGAAGGGTAAAAATGACTATTAAGTTACATAGAAGTTAGCGAGTTCCAATAAACATCACTGCTTGATTCTGCTTACCTGTATTCACTATTAACATATTTCCTGCATACAATTTCACACTACGCCTATAGAGACGTTATACTTCACGAACCTCAAAACAAAGCCACATTTTGACAGTAGTGGGATAGATATGCTCTCTATTTTATTTAAGTATTAATAAACTTACCCAGTAATGCTTAGTGAATTGATTTCAAATTTACATAATTACTCACAAATAAATATTAAGGATACGATGCAAAACTATATAATAGAAATACCATCGTTTGGTCGAAATTATGACAACTAAGGTTCAGCAATATACAGTATACAGTTAACACGTCAAGCTACAATATACACGACCAAACTAAGGAGACAAAACAAGTGAAGTACTATCCATTTACCAGATATGGAAGAAATTAATCTTCCATAAAATGGAAGCACTGTCACTGTTCAAAGTCTGGTGAGCTGATGATTTTTAGCAACAAAAAATTCGGATGAGAATGAGCCTTGCAAGATCGCTTTTATCTAAATATTTTGGTATCTTCAAGCTGAAATTTGCAGCTTTTTTTGTTGCTGAATTACTTTTTCGTCTCTTAAGCTATTTTCTAAAAATATTTTATTGGAAGGCATTTCTTTTGGTGCCAGCATTGCTATTCGAAGTAAGCAACGTGAGCTGAAGCAGAATTTGCAGCGGTATGACAGCTGCGATGATGCTCTACGACCCATCAAATGATTCTTGATTAGTTCTGCAAAGCCATGTGCCAAAACCGGCGAAAATCCAGGTGGTAAAAGTAAGTTGACACCCTGTAAATAATAAACTATGAAAAGTGCAAAAACTAAGAAAGTGTAGTAAAGCATAAGATCGTTTTTACAAAGATTCCCAATAAATTCGTGAACAATATTTTGCAAACCGAGAGAAATTTATAGACTAATCAAAGTATTTGTTTAGAATATATCCTAGATAAAGAATTCATCACTTCATATATAAAAAAAACTGACTCGTCACTTTCCCATACCTAAAATGACGAGTCAGTTTTTCCTAAATTCATTTGCTACAATAATAAAACAGAAAAGAATTGGAAGTAAACCCAGTCTAACTACTGCTAGGAAATCCCTCCCTCCAGCAATGAAAATTTCAAACCACTGGTTCAATTAAGTGGTTTAGAATTAGTTGTAGCTTTTCAGATATCATTTGGCATCAAAAACAACAGAAATTACAATTCATGAGCTCATCTTACATCCTACGGTATTAACATTGTAGTTAAATGAAAATATTTGATGCCAGGCAATTTATGAAATAGCAATTGGGAGCGAATGCAGTTGGCTTACTTCATTTTGTAGAATATTTGGTAGTAAAGTTTCAGTTTCAAAAGAAGGCATGATTGATGCAATAGGCACGACTAAAGTACGATATCGTTTCTCCCTTCTCAAGAAATATAGCTGTAATTTAATACTTTCCATTGCTGTTGCCGGCCAATGATCCCAGCCGCTAAACCATGCAAGTTTCCAAGGCACAGCTTCATTCAGATGTTCCATCAGGCGATAGCAAGTTGTCCAAACTTCTCGCATGTAGCCGGAAGAATTATAACCCCGCTAAAATATGGCAAGTAACTTCGATAGTAATCCTAACAAAGTTTTATAGGCTGCCCAAAAATTGAATAAAGTATAATAATCAATTACCAAGCATGGATTCACAGAATTTTCGAACATCGGAAAACTAAAGTGATATTGGACAACTGACACTGGACAATTTGACTTACAACATAAGTAAAAAGAAAAAAAGATCTCTGCTGATATATTCATTTGAAAGATTTATAATTCTTCCACATAAGTTCAATATAGAAAATCGTTTTAGCCCAGTTGACATGTCGACAAAACTTAAGTTATATAAAAACAGGAAAAAAAGGTCCACTATAGAAAGTTATTAACTTGTTATTATGATACCAGTTTAAGACAAACCATTTGTGGCGCAGCAAAAAGTAAACTGTCGTGATCCTTCAGTTCGGCACACAACAAATTATACCAGAACTAAACTGTGAAAAAAATTAAGCTTTTTATAGTGTCGGTCAATAAATTTGAAGGAAATTGCACTTTCTTAAAAGAAACATCGCCTTTTTGTCAAGTTCGTGATCGACTGCACAATATGCTTTCAAACATACTAAAATTTCAAGACCAAATTAAAACAAACCAAGGTCAAATCTTTTCCAGTGAGAAACTATGAAGATGCTGGAAAATCAAGATCACGCCCTTTTATCGTTAGATATCTTTCTAAAGAAGCAAGGAGCCCGATTTATTTATTGTAAGTTGAAATCACCTAATCAATTCACTGATAATTCTTAGGACAACTGGTTCATCATGAAGAAATGCAGAGATGCAGTAGAGTGACCGATTTTCCGGAACTATTTCATTCTTCTTGGAAATTTCATAAAGTTATTCCCCACTATAGGGCATAAAACTCGTCTAGTTTCTTTCTAGTACCAAGAACCAAAATTTTCCTAAAAATTCTGTCAGGAGCAATGTAGATCTCAAAATTCCATACTCCGGTCTCTTCCTTTCTTCAAACAAATGCTGAACTAGGTGCATAACAGAAACGAAGAATAAGCACAACTCAAAACAACCGGATTCAGATTTACATAAATTTCGATGAAACAATAACAGAACCTCCCCAAGGAACAAGCGATACAAATTAACGCTGGTTAAAAAGAGAAAATATGAGTATGAAATTTTTAAACCGATCTCTAACCAACTCACATTGATAACGGCTGGATGACTACTCCACCTGTCAATAGTACTACAGCGAAACGATACATGGGACATAGTTCTCACTCTATATTCCATTGAGCATATGCCATTTTCTGACAACGGTTTTGTCTGCTCATCAAGAGCTTTCACAGCAACATTTAACATCGTTCCCGTTTGAAAACATGAATAATGTGGATATAGTGGTAATAAAATTAAGCGTTGCATACCTTGTCTGGAAATAGCAAGTTCATGATCGACGACTGCACGATATTTCAAATATACTAAAATCTCGAAATCTAATTAAAGCAAATCAAGCTCAAATTTCGTCCCAATAAGGAACTATGACAATGTTGGAAAATTATGAGCAAGGTCATGCTTTTTTGTCACTAGATATTTTTTTGAAGAAGGAAGAAGTCCAGTTTATTTATTGTAAGTTGAAATCACCTTATCAATTCACTGATAGTTCTCGGGATAGCTGGTTCGTTGTAAAGAAATGCATGTGTACAATAGAATGACCCATTTTCCGGAACTAATTCATTCAAATATCCTTCCAGTACTTTCGAATATGTATCAATAAGATGCGAGAAGTTTTTACTATATTTGTAATCGTCAACACAAAAGTCAACTTTCTTCGCCAATGGCCAATATAATTGTGTCACACGTCTTGAAATAAAATGATTTTTAAAATATATTTTCTTCAGATTCTCGAAAGAGGAAGAAATACTTTTTCCTAATGAATCCATTCCTTCCTTCTTCCTTAAATTGAGTGCAATGTAAAGAACCTGGTTACATAAAAAAAGGGCACAAAAAGCCCCCACTGTTGAAAGTGGTCAAACTGAGCGGCAAGTGCGATGTGTACCACGAAAGCACCTTACACACCAACTGGTTCTAACAAAGATAAGGGAATTTTAGAAGTAAGATTTACAAAAAAACGAAATATGCATACGAAGTAAGCCACAGAGGTAACTTGTAGTAGTAATGAGAGCCTTCGGCCAAATGCTTCGTGGCATAATACGGTGTCCTCGGCAATCCATGATGTAGCATCAAAACTGCTGTTTTCATCGTTTTTTGTTCTACAGTTTTGAGATTCATACTTTTCGCCGAAAGAGATCCAAAGACATTTGAACCTGAGCCTTTTATATATTCAGTATACTGCCCAGGAAATAGGCTTCTGCCCAACGGCCATTTGGTCATTACCGATTTCCACTTGAGTGAACCCTAGTTACTAATACCACAATTATCCATGAGCCAAAACTGTGATAAGCCAGACGAAAACGACAAAGCATAAGGAAAGAAAAGTCGAAGTAAGGCAGCTCGAGTCATAATTTTGGCCGCGTTACGAAATTGGTTGTCCCATGCCTTTTTGTTGTTATTTTGTACTTTGCTGGAGTCATCTTACGCCTTATTCGAATTTTATGACACAACCACAAATAGCAGCGTAATAAATGTATGGTACAACCGGAACTCAACAAAATAATTCTAAGGTGGGTGTTGCCGCATATTCATCCCAAGTGCATCTGATATGAAATTCTCTTTAAGGTTTAGCACTCTAAAAAGCGATCCCAAAGCGATTCTCCTCAATAACATCTATAATTTTTACATGGGAATGGGAAATAAATCTTGGAAACATATATCGTTATAATATCAAAAGAACCAGTTCCTTTCAAACAGTCTCTCAATTTTAGCTTTATTTGTTAACAATTTCGAGTAAGAGAAGTTTGTTATTTTTCAATCTGTAATATAATTATTTCATTTCTGTAAGGTATATCTGGGAAAGTCGTCAAGTATGGGATAGAGAATGTAAGGAACTGAAAAAGTACAGCAACTTAATATTTGCGAATAGCAACTAAAAGCGGACTTTACAATTATCACACGTGGTATATTGTGAGATGGAATTACAACAAATTACTTTAAACTGAGAAGGTTGAATGATTCAGACTTGAATCTGGTCATCAATGCAAGATATTGCTTTAAGAGAACTAACTGAGTGAATTTCTTTCCAAATGGACCTTACTATTCCTCTTGTCATAGCCTTCTTATCTTTGAATGTGCATGAGTGAGAGTAGCTTAATTTCATTCAAGGATGTTCTTTTTTAAAAACTGTTCATTTTAATTTCTCATACATTGCAAGGCACTTACGATTTTATGATACGCCCCCTCAACGAATTTCTCCTTCCATATTTTTGAAATACTCAGTATTTCGCATGTTTAATTAATGATTTTTTTTTTGTGATCTTGAGGTTTTGAAATTGGTCCATTTTTTCTGGTATATGGATGGAAAGAAGATACCTTAACCCTTACTGTTAGGGAGGTGATGGAGGGCGAGGGGGTGTGAGAATGTACTGCAAATCGTTGTTAATCATAGAGCGGCGCTTTCTTTCCTCTTCTGCAATTCTTTTTCATCGTAGCAGTTTTCGGCAGCGCATATAAAAAATTACCTATTGACATGATACTTACCGATACTGCTTCCTGTACACTTGCCTTTACATATTTCAGAGAAAAAAAAGCTGCATTTTTTAAGGTTACCCTAGTACTTGCATGGTACCAGGTGAATTCGACATGCAGGCGTCAAAAATTAGTTTTGTTCGATATGGGGATGAAAATTAATTTTAATGCTGCTTGTCAAATCGAGCCAATACGTACGGTAGCACGTCGTGGTACGCCACTCAACATTCACTTCTGTACTTGAAGTAACCAGATAGCATTACCATATGCTTGTTTTTTTTTGGCAAAAGCTATTGTTTAACAGGAGAAATCAAACTAAAATCCTATTCCGCTTGAAGTAGGTAAGTTCGCCAGAAATATTTTTGCATCTCTGAAAGAGTTAGTCTTCAACTTCCACCGCATGAAAAAATATATATGCTCTCTTGATGATTCCTTTCTTGAACATTAATGATACTGTAGTAGACACCTTGCAAAGGGTAGGGGAATCAGTTCATTGATATGACTTTTAAATATCTGCAATATTTCTAGAAAAGTCAATTGCAGCGATAAAAATGTCAATGGAACTAGATTTTGCACTGCGTGATTGGCGTAAGAGTGATGTTATTGCGTTCCCAATGATGTAATCAGGAAATGGAATACTTCTGATATCTAATGCTATAGTTCTAGTTAATTCAGGATAGGCAGATGTACAAACAGATGCACCCCAGCAGCTTGTCAATCAACACACCAACTTCATGGCAGCAAATTTTGTTTCATCACAAGATTCAAATTCATGTCGTTGCGTTATGCTTCATTTGCGAATTCACTGTTAGACCGGTGTAATTTAGACTAGAAGGCGTGATAGGAACGCTTTGGTAATTGTTCCGGTTATAGAAGAGTCACTGTTTCGTGACACCACAATTGTTCTAGTCCATGGTAATATGATCAAGGGCATCGGCTTCATGGTTTGGAAACATGCTCGACAAGCGCAATATTAGAAATTGCTAAGACAAACTTCGAAGGTCGTTCGTTGATCGGATTTTTGAACTCTTTTTACAGTCGGAATTTTTCGAGAAATTCATTTACTAACCTTATTTTCATTTCAAAACTGAAAAGGAAATATATCACGTAATGAAGAGATAATTTTATATTATTTAAATGGATGACGTAACAACAAGCGTCATCTATTTGAAAAGATCTGTCCAGAATGTTTGTTCTTTTCCCCTTATAAAAGACAGGAAGGCGTGAAGAAATAAACCATATAATCTGTTTACATATCGCAAAATGATACTTGCTTTCACGTCTCTATATTGCGCAAATCAATGATTATGTCAAATAAGTGCAGTTATGATGGTAAATGACAACAGTTACTGCACGAGTGATTGCTTCCTCATAAATAATGCCATCAGGTCAAAGCTCTTTTACAGTTAACTGCTAATTCATATATTAACTTCTCTACTTCTATGGTACCATCTCAGGAAATAATTTCCGATGCCAGTTTTCATTCATCCATCCGCAAACATGAATGAATGCTCTAGGATGGATCACTGATCGAATCACCGTCTTTCAGCGCTGAGCAATTATTTGCTTCATTATGCAGATCGAAATCCACAGAATCATCGTAATAAGAGGAAATGTTTTTTCATTTGAAAAGAGAACAATGATAATGGATCATTCGTTAAATTCGTCTCTTTGTGATTTGCTAGTTAATTTGTTTGGAAAAAGAAAAAGTTTTCTTACAAAAATTTAAAGTTCCTCTCGACTCACTCAGAATTTTCACATATCAATCAAGAGCTGTAAAATGTGCTTCTTTTGCTACTCTTTTCTGATTGCGAAAATCTTTTCTTTCGCTTTTCCTAGGCTATCAATATTAAAATGACTCATGCATTAGTGTTAGATGCATGCAAATGCATTAACTATTAAAAAGAAAAAATCCAACTGTTTAATTCACCATTTCAATCTGAAATTAATCGGATATTTAATTGAGTAATAGGTAAACATCTGTGCATAGTTAAAAACATAATGCTGATTGCATTACAGTTTGTTTTGGTCATAGCAATAGAAATGATACACAGCACTTTTAAAACTTTAATAGTTTAAATAATATAAACTGATATTCCATTCTTTGTAGTCTATACAGTTCATAGTGAGCTTTGAGTAAATTTTTAGAGTATCTCACATTTGTCTGGTGCATTTACAATCTTAATACTTTACTTAAAGGCAACGAAACCTCTTTGACAGTTATAGTTTTTTTTTTTTTTGGGTTTGAGCAGAAAATCCTGCATTTTCTAGATTTCTCGTTTCGACCAACCCGGTTGTACAAATTTCAGAGAAGCTCCTTCTTGACAGATATTGACGGAAAATTGTACGGGAAGAACCGGTATAACTCAGTTAACTTGGGTTAAAGCAGTTTCACTTGTATTATCTGATAGGCCAAGATGGGACAGGTAATTTGTAATTTGAGAAACAATGATTAGAAAGTATTGCCAGATAGCTCATCTAATGAAGGATCGAGTCATCTATTATGCAGAAGGACATTGAGATATCCTCATACAATAAGACATGAATGCTCAGTTGGTAAGGTCATTTGCTTAGAGATTTTTCAAATACAAAAGGAAAATGAAACCCAAGCAACTTTTCCGTGAATTCATCAATCGAAGATTTACTATTTTCTTATTTGCAGTACATCCTTCTGTAGGTGGTTATTCTAAAGTTTTCTTGAGAAAACTTTAACCATTATAACTATTATAATTATTAAATAATCCTGAAAAAGGCGGTTACGTACATGCGTGAATCGTACTCGGGTATCTTCTGAATCCCAAATAATTGTTTGAGAAATCTCATGATTCCAATTTCTTCGGTATTTGCTGTCATTTAATGAAAATTATAATAGCTGTTTTCAACCATCTTCTGTACTTCTACTTAATGATATTTAACCCATCTATAGCATATCAGCCACCCACATAAATTGTTTAGTTGTTAAGTTTTGTAGGACTAATACTAGCTAATCAACAAATTATTCTTAAGTTACTTTGCAGAAAATGAATCTGTTCACTAAAATATACGACATACTGTAAACATCAGAGGATGGTAAAGTTGGCAGAAAGTGATCAATTGCGTTAATTAATGTTTTTTTTTCAAAGATTTCTAGTTCTAAAAAACATTCTGTTCCAAAAGTTCTTTCGGTATGGAAAGAAATGAAAATAGGGAAGAAAGGATCTTTCCTGTCTTCGGCCATCATTCACTTCCTAACATGATGAAAACTTGTTTTTGTCTCATCCGCCATCAACGCACATAATCGAAAGATACGAATGTCCACCATCAACGCATTTCTGGCTGTAGGACCAGATTTCTTTTTCCATTGAAAATGGTCATTAAATTGTCAAGTAGAGCAGAAGACTCGCATTTCTAACAAAAATTTGATGAAATCCAACAAGTTTAACCAACTGCTGGTCAATGATGTATTTCCATCTTAAGCATACTAGCAGCTTGTCACCATCCCTTTCCCAATAACCTTATATTTGTCAAATTCATATTAAAACAACCACTCCAAAATTTGGATAATCGTTATTCCAAAGATAACTAGTGTACTTTGAAGTGGAAAACAAGACAGGCGATTTGAGAGATCTAGAAATGACCAGTAACATACCTCAAAAAAACTGAGTTCAACGTTTATGGATTCCATTACAGTGTGCTTGATAATTTACACCACTGGAGACAACTGAAAATTGAGTATTCAATTTTTTTTTTATTTTATTCAAATTGAGTATTCAATTGAGTGGTGTAAATTATTCAATCGGTGTTCTTCCTTGACAGAAAGTTAATACCCAGACAATAGGTGTGAGATTTAGGAACCCTCAAGGAGTCAAGATAGTCAAAATCAACAATCAGCTGTTCGGCTATAGCACCTACATCACGCAAGCGAAGTTGATCTGAGAGAACGTTTCTGAGATAACCTTTCTCTATTTGCAAGAGTATCTTCATTACAAGAAATTGCTAAAATGATTTCATACCGTAGTTCATTTACATCGTTTGCATACAACCAAAAACTTTAACCATTGTGAGAACCTCCCCCTGACATGTTACATGTCCCTTTTCTACTATGTCGACGGTACAGCAACGAGATACTGATCTAAATCTTTCTGGATTCCTTTTAACATCCAAAATTTCAACAATTTTGTTTTCGCTACATTGATGCCTCACATCTAAGATACGTAAGCAGCAACAATCTTACTGCTGCACCGTTTCCTTCTAATGACTCGTATCCGTACCTCCTTATCCCTAAATTCGAACTACTTCTCCAAAACAGAAAACACCCAGATCTTTCATCCCTGCATATTTACTAACATTTCTGATAAGTTTTATTCGTATCAATATGCTGGAAGAAAAGCTAACAACATAGTAACGGATGACAGAAAAAGAAAAATATAAGTGGTTACAACAAATGCTATATAGTATCCACCCAAAAAAAGAACAACTCTAACAATCGATAAATCTTCTCAATTTATCATCCCACACCAATTTTCCAACAATAATAAAATAGAAAAGGGGAAAATAAGACCAAAATCGAATGCTAAACAAGTCAGTCAAATGATAAATGTTGTAAGCTATGTTTTGATTGAAGAGAGCAAAAAGATAAAAGATAAAATGGATTTATTCAACAAAATAATAACAAAACTCTATGATGCAAGGAAAATAAGTATAGGAACGAGCTGAATGAATGAAATTAGAGGACACAAAAGCGCTCTTCGACACTTACTGTGTTATCACTGCGCCACCTGTAAATTGTCATTATAGCGAACATAAGAAACATACCCAGACATAAAACAGTAACGTGTCACCATTACTCCTTTGCTAGTCAAAACTAGCGTCTTTTTTTATTGCAATTTATTAGGTAACACAATGTGCTAACTAGCAGTCAAGCAGTGTATATCATACTGTGCACTACTCCAAACTTTTGCGAATGGCGAAGCAGTGAGAATGGTAAGCTTAATTTGCAATTCATGAAATTGTCGCAAATGCCGAATCATGCACAAAGGCAGGAAGTCGCACAAACAATAAGATTAATACTTGTGTCTACTGAAGAGTGCGAATATATCGGATTTGTAAGAGCATGTAAGAACGGACAATTGACTACTTGATGTAACCACTACCACACTATGCATATACAATCTTACCAAGTTTCCGAAGCGCTTCTAAAAAGGAAGAACTGCAGGAAGTTGCAAAGACTTAAAGAATCTAGTAAACCCACAACTCTTACCACAAAGAATAAACCGACCAACTCTTTCAAAAATATATGCACGCACCGAAAACCAAAGCATTGAATTTTTCTGCTCAAAAATCTAAACCAAATGTTAATTTTAAATAAAAACGCAAAAAGTAGTCAAACATGGTTGTAACGTTGTCTCTGAACATTCCCGGGAAGTTTCTAAGGCTTCCCGGAAATACATGATGAATATTGGATAGATAACATAAAGAAGGTATTAACAGTGATTTGTTTTAAAACACATTGAAAATGTAAATGACTACACCTGAAACTGTACATTGCAGCATCAAACAATGCTAGATAAATGGGAAATTACTTAGGAACAGTTTTGTAAAAAAATTAATTATATGAGGTCAGAACAAATTATGCAGTGATGACAAAGATGACGGGGAGATGAAAAGCATAGTGTATCAGATGGCGGAAACAACTGTTAAAAGCCAGGTGAAGCTTAAAAACTGTTTCCAGTGTGATGCTAAATGACTTCACTATTCTCCTCTGATATGGGCCTAATGACAACATTAGAGTTTCAAAGGCGCATGCAAATTCTGCACATTGTCATCTTCTGATAAGCATAATTACAGTCGGCAGCAACAGTACCTCGAATTCAAACCGCCGCAATAAAAATCATACTCCGATGTTTTTCATTTTTTCCCGTTGAAAATTTTATGCGGTAAGGTTTCAATTGCTCAGAAGTTCTGTTTTTGAAGTTTGCGGTTTCAAAGGAATTTGAACAAATCTACTTCTAGATGCGATTGCAGTAAGCATCATAATTTGTTAGTGATCGCGTAATTTGGTGATTTGGGTGTGTTGATGTCGTAGTCCATAAATCTGTACTGACTGGCGCACCCCACATACCGCTCATCGCAGCTGGAAACTGAAAATCACTAATAGATGGCAGAAGCTCGACATCGGTCTGAGACTGATTTGGATCATCTGATGATGGTGGCGGTGGCGCTGATGACTGCTGCGTAGAACCGTTTGAGACAAATGGATCAGAGCTAGTGCTGGGTCCACTTGACGGATAATAAGACATGGAGCAAATAGGGGAACGTACATTGACTACATGAGTGATAATAGGAACTGAGCTGGTAGCTGTTTCCGTATCAACGGCTGTTCCTGCGCTCGCGTATCCACTACTCGACCCGCTTGACATCGAACGCAATTCATCCTGAAACAAAGTTAGCTTAAATCATATTTCGAAAGTTTTGATACCAATGAAATATGTGTACCACGTTTGTTGAAATGACATATTTGCATATCAAATTAATGTTCCCAAAGGTAAGAAAATCAATCAATAATGATTTACATCACTGCATTCCATCAAAGAGGCAGATGAAGACAACACCTCATCAACGTAAACTGGACAATTCTGATGCCAAGACCAACAAAGAATTCATGAATGATACCTTGGAAAACCCCTACCTGATCAGCGATTAATGCATTGTTCGGAATAGCAATTGGTGATTGCCCGGTTGATGGTGGTTGCTGATAGTATGCAGAGAACTGCTGATGATGCATCATCGATGATGCACTACCGTTGCTAGTGTTGTAGGAAGTACTTACATCACCTACATGGTTCTGCAAATGGACAGCCATTATAACCACTCCTAAATTTTCCAAATAGATTTTAAAAATGACATTCCAGACTCTTTTTGGAACATTTACACTTATCGAAAATTACAAGTATTTCTTAAAAATATTCGATTTTCTCCGAAGCCTGCAATTTCTGAGTAAATTACTAGGAAATTTAACCATTTTTGTACAAGGAATCAACAGATGTTGCGATGGTGCATTGGCTGTTAAAGATGAATACACCGGGACGGCGGGATGCTGAGCTGATGTATAAAAATCATCGTAAAAACCGCTTTCCGGAGTCACTGGTGTACTCACAAAATTATTCGGTGATGAAAATGACTGTTTGAATAACCCTTCCTATAATTGCACAGGTAAGTCTCTTCTTACTCAGCTATTTTTCAGAAACGGAATTAGCGTGTACTTCCGTGAACTCACAAGAAAATTCAAAGCAGTCAATTTGCGATATAAAAAATTTGTACATGTTATAAATTACGAACCTGTTTTCAAAACTTAGAATTATAAGGATCTCCTCACATACGAATTTGACGATACTCAAAAGCAATATATATTAAAAAAGAAATCTAACTAATTAGCATTTCGCCAAAAGAATCATTTCAAATGAATGACCGCGTATTCCGACTGAACGCCAAACACTTAGCAACCATAACACTTATTACAAATAAGTCAATAAACTACATCAACTTCACGTCAACTTTACGTCACTACACGTCATTTATTCCATTTTTTCCAATGCTACGTCTATACTTCCCGACAAAAAACTGCTCATATTTACCTGTTTTATAGCGACATTTGCAAGTGGTGATATCTTTTGATCGTTGGTGGCCGAATTCAGATAACGAATACCGTCATGGTCAATCTTCATCGATTTACCAGCAAATGGTAAGTGGTGATGGATTTCGCTTTGACCATTCACTGACAAACCAAGTATCCTGCAATACGCTCTAGAAATACAATGCATAAGTTCTAATAACAGGAAAAACGGGACAGAACATATAGCCATGCTCGAATTTCTACCGTAAATGCCCTTAAACAAGGACAATTTCCTTGTAATCCATTTCTATATGATTATTGTCTACAAAAATATTCTAAGATCGGATCTACCGTTTATGTGTTTTCGGTCGACTGGCACCAGTAATCGATGAAGTGATGTTATTGTGTCGCAGTGTCTGACTGGGCACATGACAAGAATTACTTGCAGAAACAGCAACCTGTCCATCCGCACCCTTTTTCGGCTTCTTCCGCGGTTTGTACTTGTAATCCGGATATTCCTTCATGTGCATCACACGTAAACGTTCTGCTTCCGCAATGTACGGTGCTTTCTCAGTATCCGATAATTGACGCCATTGTAAGCCAAGCTAAAAAAAGTACTTGAAAAGTGGCGGCACTGTAGAGATTCAAGAGTTTTCTTAAGTGTAACCTGCTTTAAACCCACTTTTTCATAACTGTACTCAGTACAAATTCAGACAACTCCAGGAATAAGTTGAATTAAATGTCAAACCCTTTTGCTGATTTCCGCATTGTGCATGTCCGGTGAAGTTTCGCAAATTTTCCGACGTTCCATTTGTGACCAGACCATGAAAGCATTCATTGGACGCTTTATATGATTGCTCGATTTTTTACAATTTGTCGCATCCGTGTAGGGAGTGGAACTGTTTTTAGCAACCTGTATTCGAAATTAATCCATAACAGTAAATCCCTAACATATCACAGTAAAAAATAAACCATCCCAAAGATTAAAACGAATGAAATAATTTGCGTCCCTGGAGAAGATCAAATACTGGAGAAATCTAAGCAGGAAAATTTAAATGTTTTGACAATTCTTGCTACTAAAAAATCCAAATAACTGAATTGAAATTGCAAAACTACAGAAAAAATGAGGATTTTTGGTTGGAAGAAGTGTATACCTCATAAGAGCAAACCTTCAATGAGCCAAAATGTTCCGTGGGATCCCAACCATTCGACGTAGATGATGTGACAGAAGAATAATGTTGCTGAGGTTGTTGGTGGTGTATATCGAGCTGAAAATGTTGTCCCAATTTGACTAATTCCATCGGCGATAAGTTCTGAAAAGACTGAATCCAGAGTTTCCGAGTTAGGCCTTCAATTCCAGTCCATGTCAAAATTTATTACACCAACCACAAATTACTGACAAATCACGCGGTCGCAGAAAAATTCAAATTATAACATTAGTATACTCTTCTGCAATTATCGAACAAAGATAGTGACCACTAAGAAATCGTTCGATTTCCCAAATCATCTAAATCATATGACTACGACAAAAAGTCCCTCTGAAAAAGCGGAAAGGACACCAGCAGTTATGACCGCACAGAAATTAGAATGGTGAATAAAGAAAGGGAAAGACAATGGGTGAACAAACACTGGATACAAAATAATCCTTCTGATGAAAGTCACTTGAATTTGCAACTAAAAGATATTTTGAGCTTTAAACTTGAATATGGATGAATTAGTGGCGCATTTGAATTAGAGCGGAATTTTAAACACAAATATAGACACAGTCAACATTACATTACAAATAGTAGTAACATAGATTTAACAGTATGTGGGAGGAATAACCATTTGAAAAAACTAAGTAATTTGGGGATATTATGTTTTGAACAGCAAACAGTACAGAAACTGTAAATCTACCTGCAAGTGATTTGTTTGGCCATGCGAGTTGAGATCCATTTCAGTCTTGATAGGTAAAAATAATGAAGGCTTATCCATGACAAGGCTACCAGATGACATGGTCGCTTTTTCGCAAAGTTCCAGCCAATATTACTATCTATATTAATCAGTAGTGAGACAGAAATATCCCGTTTATGCTTTTATAAGCGGAAATATGCTCCAAAAGAATATTAAATGAGTGATCAGGACAGTCAGAACTGCAATAAAATTATGCATTAATTAAATCTGGACACCAATATATACAGTTAGGGTTGCGAAAAAAACGTTAATTATTGCGACCCAAGTTAAACTCAAATTATTGTCAATTAAGCAGTATTGGCATAATTCGAAATGCAACATAATGGGAGGACTCCTTCGCTCCTTTCATCATCCCAACAGTTCCTTTTCAGGAACTCAACTATCACTGAAACTGAGGAAAAACGAACTTCCAAAAGAGGGGATAAATTAAAAAGTGGAGGAGAAAAAGGCTCAGGACTGAATTAAACATGGGATGAAGAAAAACTGACGAAGGAATCAAATTTCCCGAGAGAAAGATAACTCGACTTGCATCACGGGATATATGGGACCAAAATGAAATTGTTAAAAAAGATGGAGTAAGCAACACTTGACCCACCTGCATTAATGCTTGGTTCCCACAAATGAGATCAATCTAGGAATAAAAACGAAAAAATGGAGAAAATCGAGATGAAGAAAATGAATGAATTAAAGGCGCTTTCCTATATAACAATCCTATATGACACTTCCAGCATGCATTCTTCCGTACATCAGCAAATCAAGATTCAGATTCTAGAATCAAAACTTCCTTTCGATTCTACGAAGGTTTCTTCACATTTGGGAAAACTTTTAATCTAAATTACAGTTGAAGGTTTTGCCAATTAATCGCGAAATTAAGACGAAATGCAACATTTCTAAAACCGATGACAATTTAAATGACCCTAAGAAAGAAAAAATGACGAAGTACGCACGTGTTATCAGGAGCCATCAATAAGTGGTAATATAAAAAGCATCGGTTGGATCACATCCTGCTCTCTTAATATTTTAATTAATCAATGATGGAAGCAAGACTTGCAAGATTGGTACCGTAGCAAGAGTTGTGCTTGTGGATGAACAAAAATGTCGATAAAGAATGTGTGTTAAAGTAAGGACCACATGAGAAATACAAAGAATGTTGACAGTTGTTATCCGGAAAAAAGGATGAAGAGAGAAACCGGGAAAAATAAATTGGGTTATCCTGAATTATATAACAGTTTTGAAGACAAAAGGATATCAATATGCTCGTGAATTCAAATTCATTCTATAAAACCGGATAATATTGAAGTCATTTGGTATGAGTCCAAGTAAGTACCATCGTTCCACAGACCCAGTTTCTTCTCGTCGTTTCTTCAATGCCTCTATGTGGAATTCCGAGAATTCTGAATATCTTAAAACTTTTCTGTGCACACTAGTGAACTAAGAAGTCGCAGACCTGATTTGCTAGCCTGAACAATTTAAAAAGGTAATTCTGACCAGGATGCTTGAAGACTAAAGCGTTCAACAATGACCAAGTGTATTCACTCTGTTCTTCCATTTTTCCTATTTCTTAAAATTTGTTTAAAAATCTGAAAAGTGTAAAAGTTCTCGAAAAAAGTTACTGACAAAACGAGTTGTTACCCTGGCCGAAAAATTCCTTTAAATACCAAATAGGAAATTGAAAAATATTCAGAAACATAAACGTACTTACAGTGTCACCTAACAGAACAATGGTTCCAATTGACCAGTACACTTCGCCGCTTCATCTACTTCAACTATTGCATCCTAGCTCTAAATGTCTCATAATATAGGTAAAGTATCTGCTCTGTCGGGTGATTTTGAGCAGAAGAGGTGAAATCAGAATTAGACAAGTCCGCATATACATAATAGCAGCGTAGGGATGAATGAAGAGCAGAAGGATCTGATTTGCTGCTGCTGTCTTTTGGCAAATCATGCAATTGAAGTGATAACGTAAAAACGAGATTTCACAACGCTGTAGCATGCAAAGAAGATGAAAATGACCGATGGTATGCTCGAAAGATATAATAGTATGCATAGAAGCAAGGGATATACACAATAATTAGTGAAAAACAAGATTTTAGTGGTGACAGACTGGACATAAACACCGCGTGATGCAGGGCTGAAATCGAGATTTGTTTCGATTCCGGACAGTTTCTTTACGGGAGAGTAACATCAATATGTTTAATGAAATGTCTGATAAAATAACGAAAAAAATCAATCCGAAAATCCTTACCTGAAATAAGACCAATAAATGATGGAAGGAAGCATAAATTTACTAAATTACCTCTCCGATATTACCGTAAAATCGCTACACATAAATGCTGGATATGACTGAATCATCCAGGACTTGTTGTCCTTCAATGAAGACATTGGGTTCATGATTACCTTACTAGCCAGAACTCATTAAATTCAAAAAACATGAATTTTACGATCCCCCTATATAATACAAAATAAACCAGCTGCTAAAATGTGAGGTCAAGTATTAATCGATCCATGCTCTTTACTTTAGTGTTCCAGATCAAAGTACGGTGCACAAGCTTATAGAATAATTAGTATTTGTGTGTCTCATTTTCATTGACAATAACACTACACAATAAAACGATGACAGGAAGATACAAAGCATCCCATCACACCGGATAACCAACCTCGAGTTACACGAGGTGCGGAGTGCGCTATTTAAAAGCAAAAATGAACTCCTTTCAAGTACACTGGAAATCACGAGACAAGACAAAACATGTCCTAAAAAGTGGTCCGCAACCAAACAACATCTAGAAGTTACCAATAAGGCGATCAATATCGAACAAACCTGATCGCTACCCATTGCTGACATCATATGGTCACTTAAAGATACTGAAAACAAGTTCTTGAAACTACCCTACCATATTGAAAAACGGTAATTCTAAGGATACCCGATACCATTTCAAGTTATTTGGCAACCAATAACTTCAAAGTTTTGATTTTAATCTCGACAAACACTACGACTGTTTGCTTACTCCCATATGGAAATCTATGTAATGCTCTTTTTATAGAACAGCATTCCCTACCGACTAAAAGACAGTTAAATTCGAACGTTAGAAATTGACAAATTTTGGAAAAGGAAGACGGATATCAGAAATGTCAAATAAACTGCATTAATCTCAGTAATCAGAATAAACCACTTTTCAATAAAGGAGACAAATAATCAACCACATAATCAAAAGTGTAACTAATTTGCTGTACTAAATTGATGAACTTAACAAGTGCTAGGCTCTACCTAGTTGTCCACCTTCACTCCATTCAAAACTTTCCAGTTTTTGCAGAGAACAAAAGTAGGCTCGTTACATCGAAATGTTTAAATTGTTATCAATTACTGTCCCAGACAGGGCAACCTTCTCGTACTGATCTTTCCTTAAATACCTCCTATTACAAAAAAAAAGTTGTAGCAAGCAGAAAACTTAAACGATCAAATAAAGGAAATCTCTAGATGGAACCGTCGCAACAAAATACTCAGATTAAAAAGCCTAAATGGGCCTAAGGTTTCAGCTGATAAAAAAAGTACTGAAAGTACCACTTAAATACTGTACCACAAACCTTCGACTCTCGGATGAAACTAACCATAAAAGGACTGATATGATTTCTCAAGGTTGAGAAAATAGCTCATTCGGAAGATCCTGACCGCTTCAGACTTCACTAATTTGTTTCAATTAGAAAACTGATGTTACCAAGCACTACTGGGTAACAGCAAAACTACTCCGAATTAAATACAATCACCGACTAATAAACCGAATTTTTTAAAACAGCTCCGCCGGGGTAAGCGAAACTAAAGCAGTTATTATAATAGTGTTTACAGTATTGTCATACACCTGCAGTAAGCACGTAGGTTTGTAGTAATCATAAGACGTAGCGTAAGATGACGAATGGTCCTAAAGTGATTCAGAAAAAGGAAAGCAAATCAAACCACAACTAAAAATATGTGAAAGGGATTGAAGAGTGCAGATAAAGTTGAGATATTGGCACAAGCATTTTTTTTGCTTTCGGACATGTGAAAAACACGGTGAAAAGGGTTGGGTAAAGGTAAAGAATGATTTTCATTGCCTCAGGCAAAGTAATCGTTACCGTCACTATTACCACTATCATTCCTGCAATAGTCATCATCATCATCATCATTATGGCTTATTGTTATCGTCTGACAATGAGCCATAATGATTATCATCTCAACAAAAATCCCTCCGACTATCCATTAATGAAAGAACTCGAGATCTATCAGTCTTCCACATTTAATTTAACAGTAGTAAACAAGTTTTCCAATGTAATTCCACTGGTCATATCAGGAATACAACATTCGCGAGTGTTCATTTTAGGAGTTGAAAGTTAGGTTAGATAGATCTGCCGCCAAATGAAGACACAGTCTGACTGATGTCTTTGAAAAATTAAGAAATTAAAGAAACACAGGTCAATATTTGACACATTTCATTGATCACTTACAATGACAAGTACAAATGGTTATTACAGTACACTCCCCGTCCCATTCGAAAATGAGTTACGCTTTTCATTCAAATTTCCTTTATTAGGCATTGATTTTCTACGAACAAGAACCTTGTACTATATCAACATTGCTTGAAGTGAAAGGTTTGTACCTCTCATTTCCCGGAGTTATATGGTGTTCAGGTCACTGAAACTTCAATCTCCCACCATTCTCCGCCGCGATCTTCTTCACTCTCTCTAATCAAATACCATCAAGATCAGGAAATTTGGTTTAATAAAGTGTCATGGCACCATGTCAGTACCAATTACATACTTCCACCACTTTCGGGAAGAAAAGACGGGATCGGTTCGATCTCAGTAGGGGGTACCTCGTTCACCAACAGCGTCCCACAGCGCAACAACGGCCACTAACCTCCTATCCCCTACATCTCCAGCAGAAAATGAACCACCTTAATATGTCTTCTAAAATAAGACCTCAATATCGGAATCCCTACAACAGACAATTGGGTTACCAGATAAGCATTGGTATCTTGGTACCAATATATCCAACTATAGCTGATCATCTTGAAATTGCTCAACATGTTCATGAATGAATGACGTTCCCCACGCCTTTAGAGATGGTTACCTCGATGGACGCTCTCTCTATACCCAGAACAACATCAAAAAAAAGTCCAATTCTCAAGGCACTAGCTTTCTGTCAAACTATGACCGACTGCGCCTTGTAGTAGAAAAGTACAATCATATGACCGAACTAAATGCCTGCCACGACTGCAATTAACACTGAACAAGTTTAAGCGGCAAGCAAGACAAACGGAAGATGGGACCTTCTGCAAGTGACGTAAAAAACTTCGAAGCTTAGGGGACAATCTTTCTTGGAATCATATCAAATACAGTACAACGTTATCATAAACATAATCTTTTACCTTTGTCCATTCAACCATAACCATATGAGGAGATGGGAGAAAGTTCACAGAAGCTGGCAAATTACTTTCCTCGTATGTCACGGGATTCAGAAACTGCATTAACAAAACAGATGGAGAAGAACTGCTATAACAGGTCTGTCTCATCCAATAAATTCGCCATGAGGCCACAAATTCAGTTCTTGTAAAGAGGCTCGAGGGTAACCTTACAACAGTATTCCTCAACTAGCATTATATAGCGAGTTCTACTGGAAACAAATGATCTATAATACTTGTTAAAGCTCTGCCTTCTTAAATTCCGCCGTTTGATTGAGCAAAAGGCGTAGTATGGATGGGTTGAACTGTTCAATCTCAACATGCTTCGCGAAGGAAGTCATTTATTAAACAACAGTCGTACAGGAAACAAGGGGATGTGGAATAGAAGCAGGATGGAGAGATAAACGGATACCTTACTCTTAACGCGGATGAATATGACATCCGCAAGAGTACTATTCCATTCAAATACCAACCAGCAAACATTTGTTATTAGAAATTGTCAATAAGCATTTGTCATTAGGAAACAATCAGGGAGACAGAGGAGAGAGAAAAACTATCATGTTCATGGGCTTCCAGGCCTATACAATATTTACTATAGAGTACTATTCTATTCAAATACTAACCAGCAAATCGGTTTGAACACATAGCTGTCGATTAGTGTATCCGTGTGGTTTAGCGATAATCAGCAGAAGTGGAAAAGGGCTTCCAACAGAATATTTGACTACTGTATCGCTTATGCAACAACTTCGGTCAGCAATTTTGCATAGCCAGAAATACCTCTACGCGAAGGAAGACAAAACAAAAGACTTGGAAGACTTGTGCGGCGATCACTTCTTACTACCGCGGTGGAAAAGGCGACACATCCAGGAGGAAGCCTCCGGTAATGCCACTGATAGTAGTCATCGAAGGTGGAGCATCTGCTCCACTTCAGTTTCACATCGCAAGAGCACCACGCCCCGTTCGAAGGGCCAATAGCTGGCGGCACCAGCGCATACTTTACAGATTATCGTATCATAGTCTCGAGAATTTAGGAACATCACCGAGCAAATCAAACAGAAGCCTTCACAGACAATTTATTCTACCGCGCGTTCCTTCGGTCGGATCCATGCGGTATTAAAGTTGAAGTAGAAGAGCTCGCTGAAGGACACCAGAACTCTGAAGCTATCTTGACAATTTCAAAAGAGAAACAGAACTGGAATGGATAGTGTGGGAATGATTTGTTACATGCTCGGGCACCTCACAATCGTTCGTGATGCATTTGTCCTCTGCAGACAATGAAAATAAAAAAGCATCACGAAATACTCGACCTCCCTGAGCAACAGTTCTCAGCGATTCCTCAATGATAGCGATAGATTGTCCCATTCGATACACCTCAAATTGAAATGACAAATTTCAGCTCTAGAAATTCAAACTTGCAGACCAGAAGATTTTTATCGGCAGTTGGCGCTTGGTGCCTGGAACTCACTACAGCAAGGGAAATATATCAATGAAGCAAATGGCGGTATGAATTTGCCAACTGCATCTTGTCTTTGGGCAAGTGACATGAGATTTAACTATCATCGTATTAGATGTGACGTGAGTGGAAGGGAGCGCTGATGAGCAGCTGTCGCACTTCGTCATGCAGTGTCTTTGAGTGTACCTATACCATCGGCACCTCGTCATTGCTAATCTCTGAGTCATTCTGATTTCATTAACCTTTACCGGTTTGCTCAAATTTCCATATGAATTAAAAACTATAGGCTATGATACAGCAGGCAGTACATCAGTGCTCAGTGCTGAAAATAAATGTCAAGAGGGACCATTGAAATGCACATCTCCGGTAATTAATGAGCACTACTTCATTCTCGTAATAAATCTAGATGGAAAGAGGGAATTCATCACATGATAAGATTTGCGAGAGAGCAATAATAATTAATAGGTGGGTAGAGTTGATGATCCAAAAATCTCAACCCTTCTCTTGTCAAATCCTTAAATCCGACACTTTTGACTCCTTCAAATATCACCTTCCTAAACTTCCATTTTATCATATTTATATTCCTCAACAACTAAAACTAATGAAGTTAACACTGTGAAACTCCGAGTTTTTTGGCTCTTTGCCATATAGATAAACTTGCTTGTCAATCCATTAAACCCCACACAGTTCACATTCCAAATTGATGATGTCCATCAGGTGCAATCTTCAGTGTTATTACAATGCCGCTTT